CTGTAGCTCAGGTAGTAAAGCAGGTCACCTACTAACCAAGTATCCTTAGATACTAACCCCATGTTTCTCTCCGATGCATCCATCAGAGTATGAATGTGTGTGAATGTTCGATAGGAAACAGTGTAGAAGAAAGTGCGTGTGCGACTGTGTGAAGTTGTGCAAAGCGCTTTTAGTGCTCAGGATAGAAAAGCACTCTGTAAGAACCGCTCCATTTACTAGTTCAAAACAAGGAGGTTTAGTTATCAGTGCTCCTAAAAGAGTTTATATAAGAACTTAACAGATACCAAATGTAACTTAATGACTTCAGTAGAAAGTGTTTCACACTCTGAGGGCTTTAACAGTAAGTTGGTCAGTAGCTGAGAATTACCAGTCACAGTTATTGTGTTGGTTTAACAGTGATCAGCAGAAAAACAGAATATAATAGTCAGTGTAAGTTTTGCTCTTCACTCTTAGTAGGAGTGCTGCAGAATTGTTTTGTAACTGAATCGAACCACAGACGTTTATGTGATAAGAACATACCAAAACAAAATGCTCACTTTGGTTGCTTTCATGAAAACCTGACATGTTATTCATTGACAGGAGACATAGATGGCTGTCCTGTTATCCTGGTGTGCGGGACCAAGAATGTTGGAAAGTCAACATTTATTCGTGTGCTCATTAACACCTTGCTGAATTAGTAAGTTTCTCACTAACTACAGGTTTTTTTTTGTCCTGTTCTGGTCCTCTGTCTTTATTGTAATGTTTAGTTTGCTTTGGTTCACATTTACACAAGGGTCTTTACAGCCTACAAACATCTCTGTGGGTCATTTAAAGTGCAGACTAATGATATGTTTTGTTTTCCTTCAGCACTGCTAGTGTCGAATATTTGGAAGGTGACCTCGGTCAAACAGAATTCACCCCTGCTGGTTGCCTGTCTCTCCTCACTGTCAGAGAACCCCTTTTAGGTATGTTTCAATCCTCATTATATGTTCAAAATCTTTACATCTTTACAACTGGGGCTAAATTATTAACAACAATGTGTTGGAAGAGCCATTCCTTGGTTACCTTAGATTAAAGATTGGAAACTGACACAGCCAGTCCACCTGTGTCTAGGAGTAAAAGTGTTAGCCTTTCAGCTTCTTTTAAACCTATGTAACATGTGAGAATCGTGTGATTCGAAATGCGATGTCAAAATTGTTATTTTATGGTGGGTTTTGTGTAGAATTATGCCTCTATAGTTCAATTCAGTTTTATTTACATAGTGCCAAATAAACAGTCGCCTCAAGGCGCTTTATATTGTAAGGTAGACCCTACAATAATACATACAGCGAAAAACCCAACAATCATATGATCCCCTATGAGTAGGCACTTTGGTGACAATGGGAAGGAAAAACTCCCTTTTAACAGGAAGAAACCTCAGGCTCTATATTGTTTTCTTCATTTCTGACTCCTACTTGATTAGTAAGAGTGGGTTAAAAGACGTATAATGATCTGCTCTGCAGGTCCTCCTTTCACACATCAGCAGACTCCAGACCACATGATCTACTACGGTCAGTCATCATGCAACTCAGACCTGGATCGATATGTGGAATCTCTTAAATCCTTATGGTGCAGAAGATCCCAGACCAGAGAGGCTCCGATTATTATCAACACCATGGGCTGGGTCAAAGGTCAGTGTGCGCTGCCTTCTGTGACATCAGTGAAACAATGTAGGAGAATTTAAATACACTAATAATAAAAAATGTTTCTGGATGTGTGTCTGTTCACAGGATTTGGATTCAAGCTGCTGGTTGACATGATCCGCTTCTTCCCAGTTTCCCATGTCGTCCAGCTCAGTCACAGTGGTGTCAATCAGTGCCCCGCCCTCACTCCAGACTTTCTGAGAACGGCAAATGGCTTTCAGACTCACCCACCCGCCCAGACCGCTCTGGATGAGTTTACAGAAAGCCACAGCCCCCCAAGAATCTACAGTCACATTAGTATACAAGCAGAGTTTCAAGGAGTTGGGAGTCAAGGAACAGCGTAAGTACACCACTGCACCACCATTATTAATATACTGGTGTAAAAACATTATTCCAGACTCTTGGCTACATCTCATATCGCTGCATTTGACAGGAAACACCAGCGTAGTAATGAGCAGAGAAATCTGTCTCTCCTGGCCTATCTGAGTCAGCTGCAGTGTCCGGACCCTGGACCAGTCAGACCTCTGCACAGCCTCACACCATACCAGGTACACATGACTCTCTGATCACAGTCTGTACATATATGAATACAATTCATGACATTTAAATCAGGGAGAAATGGCTGTCTATGCTCCCGTTTTGGTTTAAACCTCCTTAAACTGCAAACTGTTGTTTTTAAAGATGTTTTTATATTTATTAAGCAACCACTTAACAATTTTCTTGCTAAACCCACAGGTTCCACACACAGCGATTGCGTTAGGTGTTACCCACTGCGACGTGGTGCCCTCGCACGTGTTTCATGCTTCCAGTGGTAGTCTGGTAGGACTCTGCTGCCTGGCAGAAAAAGTAGCAAGCAAGGGAGGTCCAGTCTTTCTTTCCCAGGCACCCATCTGCCCATGTGTGGGATTTGGTAAGTTTCCTTTCTGAGTTATTGTGTTGACTTTGGCTTTACTTCCTCATTGACTGAAACATTTTTATCAAGTTAAAAATGTATGTTGCTGATATCTTTTTAAAAGAAGCTCAAGTTATTGTTACTGCCACAATAAACTGTTTTTTCAGGTTATTGAAGCTTTCTTTCTTTAACTATAGTAACTGGTCAGAAAAATAAGATTATATTTAATCGGGGGGGGGGGGTCCAAAAAGTTTAGGTAGGAAGGAAATAAAAATATTTGTGAAGAGCTGAAAATGTTTTGTAGATTATGCAGTGAAGACTTTATTCCATAAGTTTCAGCACCAGATTCAATTCTTAAGATTGGGAATAAAGAAACAGATTTATTAGATGTAATAGATAAGAGCACCCAAATCCATTTGACAATTTGAGAATTAAAGAGTCGTTATATGTCGTTATATTTACTTGATACTGTCTTCCAGGGCTCCTCCGAGGTATTGACATGGCACGGGGTCTGTACTTCCTGCTGACGCCTGTAGATCCGTCAGTTCTTCGTAAAGTCAACTGTCTCCTCTTGGGAGCAATTTCAATGCCTTCCTGTATCTTCACAACACAGGTTAGATCCTTTTTCATGTTTTTCATTTTGTTTTCATGTTATGAAAAATGTTTTCAGTTGCTGAAAAGTCACTTCAGACTGTTCTACTTTAAAGCCATGTTGTTATAATAGATGCAGTTAATGAGCATTGTGTTGTTGGAACATGCAGGCCCCCCCACCTTAAAATTATATCATCTGAAAGGGCTCATGTGTTGCTCTAAAACCTGTATGGACCTTGCAGCACTGGTGTTGCCTTCCCAGATGTGCAGGCTGTTTCATCTCTAGGCACAAGTGCACCTCTATAGCATTAGAGATGAAGGCTCTTTAAGGGAGCACTGATAACACCCCAGGTGGTACCTGAGGACTTGGCATTCATGTTTTCCCCCCTCCAAAAAAGACAAAATTTGGTTCATCTGACGCACTTTTCCATTAGTCCATTTTAAATGAGAGAAGATGGTGACATTGATCGATCACGTTCACATATGGCTTCTTCTTTGCATAATGGAGCTTTAACCTGGATGGCACAGTGAACTGTGTTCACATACAGTGATTCCTAGAAGTGTCCAAGCCCACGTAGTGATTTCCTCGACAGAATTATGTCTTCCTTTTTTATTTAATGCACTGCTTCCTGAGGGTCCGACTATCACAGGCATGTAGATGATGAGATGTTTTACGTCTTTACAGTTTTGCTCCAGCTGTTTCTTTTT